TCAATTAAGCTTTGGTAGCTTTAAATTAAATCGACTTTTAATACTGCCCCACTATTTTGTTGTCTTGCAATGCAACACCAAAAATCGAAAATGAAGTTGACAATAAACCATCATTTCTTGTCTGAACCCAGGCCTACACGTCTTTGCCACACACGTGGCCTTTGGATCCAAAGGGCCTAGCTAGAAGCAGCATGAATGAATGAAGCACTAAACCAAACATTTAAAAGTTAAAAATCAAAAAGTTATAACGTCATTTTTTTTCTTCAAGTAATTAAAGAGCTAGTTTAATTACCAAATTAGTACTAATTAACAATTTTGAAAGAAATGTGCACTGCACAACAACGACTGGCAGGGCAGCCGATGGAGCTTTGCTGATAGAAAATAATGGAATTAGGGAAGAGAGTGGAAAGAGGGAGGGAGATAGAGTAAAATGGGTCCCATCGTTAATCTTCAGAGACTGTACAGATGGTCAGTCGGTGTAGTGTCAGCATCACTCTGCCGTTGAACCTCAAGCAGCAAATTGTGAAGTGTCACTGTGTGTTTTATATAATGAACAGTTTGTTTTTAAATTTCGAAATCAGAAAAAGCATAGTTTAGGTGGTTGAGGGGACACAACACAAGCACAACCCATTCACTCACTTTCAAATCCGTTTTTAAGCCTACTGAAATCCAGATTAAGAGCTTTTAAAAAAATATATAAATTAAAGCTTTCTACTTATACCCGAAAAGAAAAAAAGAAAATATCTCACTCGACCTTCTAGTCATGTTGATTCTTCAAGGGATAGCAACGTTATCAAAAAGGCCAATGCAGCAGCTTTTGCTATCTTTTCCAATTTCTTTACCTTATCCTCCTCCTATTTTGTCCCAAAAAGTGCACAAAAATTGAGAGAATTTGAGCATGCTCCATCTAGGGCTTGTTTGGCTGCATGCAAATCCGCATCCCCTCGATTGCCAGCTTCATAACCCGTGCTTATTGCTTTACAACCTTTGAAATCAAGGGGTTGTCTCTTTAAGGTCTTGTTCGGTAGCTCGGTTTGAATTAGGTCGGAGTTGAGTCCAAGTCAATTCTTATGAGTCACACATTTTCCATCCCTCGTGAGACTTAATAAATATAGACTAAGTCATCATCTCACTATGGTAAGTTTGTTGACATACAGTGCTAGAGATTGGGTTTACATCAAAATTAAAAATGCATGGGTTATTCCTAATAAACCCTAGCAATTTTGGGTTTACAACAAAAAAAAAATGCATGGGTTTTTCCGAATAAATCCTAGCAATTTGGGTTTTAATCTAATTTTATATTTAATAACTCAAGTCCCAACACACCAAACAAATAGTTAGAACTCTTGTCCATTCTAATTGAAGTAGTTCAGTTCAGTTTAGTCCAGCCCATTTTAGATGCATTGTGAAATATACTCATACCGTATACGATATGTCTCGTCTCACAATTATGCTATTATGTAAATAATGAGTATGTGAGAAATCTAGAGATTTTCTATTTAAACCCCACACTTTTCTTAGTTCACCCCATCTTTTAATTTAAATTTTCACAATTTCTAAAAAAACCCCACTATCTTCCCAAACTACCCTTAAATACACCACAAACTAAATATAAAAATAAAAAAAATAAAAAAGAAATAAAAGAGATTTTCTATTTAAACCCCACAATTTTCTTTGTTCCCAGCAAATTTTCACAATTTCTAAAAAAACCCCACTATCTTCCCAAACTACCCTTAAATACACCACAAACTAAATATAAAAATAAAAATAAAAAAAAAGAAATAAAAGAGATTTTCTATTTAAACCCCACAATTTTCTTTGTTCCCAGCAAAAAAAAACACAAACAAATAGAACCCTAAACCCAAAATTTAATACTTTATAGAGAAAGAAAACAACTTTACCTCTCTCAAAGAACTGTAACTGGAATTCCAACACTTGGGTATTGTTGAGTTGATAATCAACAAGCCTTTCCACCAACTCCCACGCATATTTAAAGAGGTAGGCTTGTCAATTTTCTATGTCTTTAAAAGAGAAGAATAATTTGGCAATAGGATGTAGAGGAGTTTGTGTTTTTCTAAAACTTGATATGAAGAGTGGTGGGGTGTGTGGGGTGTGGGGTGTGTGGTGTGTGTATAGATGTATTAGGTTTAATTATTAAGTTGGATGACTTTTTTTTGTCTTTTTACACAATAATAAAACTTATAGCTTAATGATTTAAGTATTGGGGTGAACAAAGAGAAGTGCGGGGTTTAAATAGAAAATCTCAAAATCTAATGTATTTGAAAGCCTCATCGCATAATTTTTATTTAATAATATAGGAAACAAAAATGCTACTTGTTGTAATAAGTCTTCTTGCATATATTGAGTCTCCAATTGGGCTGAGCATACCAAGACCGTTATTGGCCTGCGATGCTATAGGCGAACTGATTTTGGAGAGGTGGGTGAAAGTGATTTACTGCCTAAATAATGCCAGATTTCCATGCCCTTAATATTTGATTACTACAATATCACTTGAATTACAGTTTTCTTTGGTTATTTTCTCAATATTTGACAATGACACTTACCACTCTCGAGTCTGCATATGAATTTCTAATTTTATATTACTGGTCCCAATTAGACATTGCACCCGTGATAATTGGTGTGTGCGTTATTTGTTTTGTTTCATCGTGAGCCATAAGACTGTTTAGTGTTGGATTTATGCATGCAATGCAATGGCTCATACAACTTCCCACATCCTTCCTTTCATCCAAATGAGGTTTGTGATACAAAATTCTTTCTCTACATGCTCCAACTTCATAGTTGGCCATATGGAATAAAATCTTCCATGCATTCATAGAGAAAATTATGCATTCCAATTCCAAATAGATAATATAGATGCTCAACTTGTCTCATTTTTCATATGTAAAGTTTTGGAATATTATCAGGGACGGTCCTGAAATTTTCAGGACCCATAACAAATGTAAAAAATTAAGCCCTTATATATATTTTTTTTTTTTCACTTAAGTGCTAGACTCATTCTAATTTTTTCAATCCATATTTAATTAGTTCGAATTAACTAAAAATTTAACATTCAACAAAGATAAATTATATCAATTCAAACTTCAATATATAAAAATTAAAATAAGAGACTATGCTTGATACATTCAAATCAAATGCATAAACAAGATAAATACTTGTAACAACTCAATCATTTCTTTTTCTTTTTTGGATTCTAGATTGTTGTTTTTTCATGAATCGTTGCAACTTGAAATCAGAAACAGTAGAAGGAAATCCAATGAAATGTTAATACTTCAAATAATAAACAAAGAACAACATAACTTGGAATTTGAGAAATCCCCCAGCAACAAACTTAAAACATCCAAATTTCCAATCAACTAGAGTTTAAAAGAGTTGAAAGACCACATATTATTTTTTTGTAAAAATATTTTTAAATATATAATAAATATGATCTAACACTTTATATATAAATTAAAAAAATTAACAAATTGGGGCCTCCTGGATAGTGAGCCCAGGGCAGTCGCACTCACTGACCACCCTGTCCAAGGCTAACACTGAATATTATCTTCTTTTAAGGGGTTTATTTAGACAAGTAGTCATTCTTGATACGATTGTTATAATTTTTCTCCTATTGAAAAACAATATAGTGATAAGGGGTGGAGCCAGTGCATGACATGGGCACTGGCCTCTCTCAAATGTTGTTGTACAGAAAATTTATACTAGTAATGTCGTACAAAATATTATAAAATTCCTCGCAAAATCTTAAATGCCCCATTTTCTATTCGTTTATCTTTCATTCTCATGTTTAAATTTTTGTTGATAGTTGTATATATTTTGTTACTATTAAAGAGCGTTAGATTATTCATACAAAAAGTAAAGAAAAACAAGAGAGAAAAGTGATAGAATTAGGGATTTCTTAAAAACTAGGTTGATTTGTCACAAAATAAAGTGTTAGGTATACCATATTTTTACTATGAGAATCCGCAATGGTTGTCCAGTAGTTCAATAAATTGATCTTTTTAGCATCTATTGAATTGAACTGCAGTTTTACTTGTATTAGTATAGTTCAATAGCTTCAAATCAATAGTTACATATACTTACACGTCTTTTTACATACTCAAATAAAATAAAAGGGATAAATTTAATAACACTAAAAAATATACCATTACAATATTCTCAAATAGATCTTTAAAGCTCATAAAAAAAAAAATAGATCTTAAAAAAGAGACCAATTTTTAATATATTTGGAAAAAAAATTTAATTGATGTATTTTTTATATTGCATTGAATTATTGAACAACCACTGCGGATGTTCTTAACAACATAATGCATTAATTGTTGTATTTTTTTTATTTTTTATTGGCATGTGGGTCCCATGGTTGCAATGAACTAAATCACACTATTGCAAGTGAGATTTTACTATTTTAGTTCAATTTCATGCAATAAAATTGCATTGATCCTAATTATTGCAAATGCTCTAACTAGCTCTTAGTCTAATGATATTTTGATTATCAATATTTAAAAAAATGTCAAGTTCGAATCCATGTGACTCATTAATTTAAAAAAAATTGCTATTTTAAAAATATATATTTTAGAAATGTATATGAAGTTAATATTTTATTGTCATATTTGTTGTAATAACAATTGGAATAGAAAAACTGAATTCTTAACAATGAGAAAAAAAAGAATTACTGAAATATATAGCGCTGCTAGCCTGCTACCATGCGCATCCATGTACTGTGCGTATACGGTACCCAGAGGCCTTCCCTTTGCGTGAGAGTGCGCATTACGCTTCCAGCTTATCCTAGAAGAAAACATCGCAAGACCCCAAAAGCCCAAAGCCCAATAGAAAAACAAAAAGAAACAAATCAAAGTAGGAGTACTATTAACTGTTTGAAGGAGTTTACTTAATAATACTGAGAGTCGCATGCACTAGTGTCTGCTTAACAGCAAAGCGTCCCCATTCCTCTTCGCCAGTCTATTTAATTAATCAAACTAAATCTACTCACTCTCTCTCTAGGCGCAACCAGATTTAAATCACAATCTAGAGAGAGAAAAACCAAAGCAAGAGAAAACCCACTCCATTTCTCTCTCTAAAAATCACCATTTTTCCCAAAAGTTCAACACTCTCTCCTTCTCTCCTTCTCTCTCAATATCTACATATCTATAATCTGCGTATCTGTATATTTATCTACGATTTGAAACCCTAGCATTTCGGATCCTGACCTGCATTTGGATGTGAAAGAGTGTACGCTACTCAGATCGGCTATGGATGAGGTTTCCGGCGACGGAGGTACGACTCCGGTGGCAGAGTTCAGCAGTAATGGACCGGTTCCGGGGGCTACTCCGACACCGCCGCCACTGATGGTGTCGGGATCGTTCAAGGAGGGGAAGAGTTCATCGCGGAGAAGAGGATTCATGAGGCCGAGCATGGACGGCGACGAGTTCATTAACCTCTTGCACGGCTCGGATCCGGTCAAGGTCGAGCTCAATCGGCTCGAGAATGAAGTCAGAGGTGCGAATGCGGGTCGATCCGCTGGTTTACTCGAGATTTGCTACTGGTTTTGCTCGATTTAGAGTGTAGTTTCTCCGTTTTGACTGTTGTTTTTGGGTGAGTTTTGCAGATAAGGACCGGGAGTTAGGAGAGGCACAGGCTCAGATCAAGGCTCTCAAGCTCTCTGAAAGAGCCAGAGAAAAGGCTGTTGAAGAGGTTATTTTCGTCATTTGCTATTACGCTGATTTTTCGAGCTGCTTTTTTTTTTTTTTTTTTTTTTTT